TAGCCTAACGGCGCTGCCTAGGCAAAATTTGTAGGTAAAAATCTACCCAAAGTATTTCATGATCTTAGCCGCTGCTACACAGCCTGTGCACTGTGCTGAAGCTTCTTCGAACTCCTTCAGTTAGAAGAAAGAACGGAGCACTTATGGGTTACTTCCCGTGTGCTTTGTTGATCCGTTGTTCAAATTTCAAACAAGTAGTCTGTAAGCGCTGTGCTGAATCTACAGACGTAATGTCCCAATACCGACCCTCCATACCCCGTTCGTTTTCGGTTAAAGAAAAGAAATCCAGGAAAACACGCCATGAAATGGTTATATTGGGGTACCCTACGGCAAAACAATTACGTGTTGTCTAATCTGGTTGTGTGATTTGGTGTAATCAAAGTATTGAACCTGTTCAAGTAAATTCCCATTCATTGTAATTTTTGAAAATCCTAGCGGTAATAACAACTGTTTACCTTTATCATCATTATCATGGTCGTCATCATTATCATCATCATACGTTGTGCCTGTTTATGTCACGTAGGGCTCACAGTCTTCCATCCTTTTCGGTTCTTTTTGTACCTTCCAATTGCTAATATTCGTCAGGGACAACTCTTGTTTCCCTTGCTGACGCGCCTGTGTGGGCTCTTGTCTAACCTTAGATGGCAAAAATAAGCCCAAGGTCCTCAAAACAAGAAGACTAATTATGTGTTTACTTGAAAAGTATGTGCTGGCCGAAAGGAAGATATCGCAGCCTCACTGATAAACACAACACAGTGTGCTATCTGCCCTTCTAATGACGAACGCAAAAGCGGAAGAAGATTGTTTTGGAAGTGACGACACGTTAGTTTAACTGCCATTAGTTCATTTGTTTAGTGCTAAACTTAGTGTTTAGGTGATGGTTTCACCGTTTTTTAGTCACCGTCAACAGTTTGATGTTTCTACCATTACATAAAACATCTTGATATTTCTCGGGTAAGTTGCAACGAACATCTTGATGTCTGAATAGGTTTTTTGAAGAAAATCGGGTCCACCTTGCAGCTGGGAAGCTCCACCAGGTCGTAGCGGATGCAGATGGCGTTGAAGATGTTGAGTGTGAAGAAAGGCACCCAGCAGGCCAGGAACACACCTGTGGAGACAAGCAGGTTGAGCCACTGGTTACAGGGATACGAAGATTGAAAACTAAAAAAAAAAAAAAAAACATGCGGTAATAAAAAAATAAGCCGATACATTAAAGAAAATTTAAAAAAGTAGATAAAATAAATAGGAATAGATAAATAAAAAAATAAATAAACCAAAAAAAAAAAAAAAAAAAAAAAAAAAAAAAAAAAAAAAAAAAAATTATATCAATCAATCAAAATGAATTTATAAAAAAAAAAAAAAAAAAAACAATAAGGAAAATGAATTAGGAAAATTACGTCAAAATAACTTAGAGGACAAAAATAGCACTATTGTTAAAAAAACAACAACACACACAACATAAAAAAGGTTTGACATAATAGAGATTGTTTGCAACTAATAAGTACATTCTCTGCTGTCTTTGGTGATATCATGTGGTCAGGCCTCAGTCTTTCCCGTTGTGCCACTGTCTCGCCAAGTCTAGCATACACCATAATTGTATTTTTTTTTTAAACCGCCCGCCACGGGGAAACCCCCCCCCCCTCCCCTCCTCTGGTAAGTCGGTGATTGTAAACCGGTCTCACTAACCTCTACAGAGGTGGGCAATTCTCTAATGTACATTATTAGCTTCAACATTAATAGTCGAAACGGCAGATCGAACATATTCAGTTTTCGATCTGTACTGGGCACACCTTTGATTCCAGGTATATTTGATTAACCTGGAGGAAAGAAAAGTCGGAATATTTTCTTTGACAACAAAGGAAACAAATAATTGACGATGCAAGTTCATCAATTAGCGCCCCAGAGAGGATCAAAGCACTTGGCTGTGACAGGTTTGCGTTAGGGGGGATAAGCAGGGCGTTAAGAGCGCCTTATAGCGAAGGATTTAATGGTATTGTCCCTTAGTGCGTTGCTAAGGTTACCAATAAAAACTTCCTATTGAAAGAATCCTTAAATGTTTTAATGTTTTGAAGTTGTCAAGCTAATATATTTTATTTATTATAGTCATTGTTCTTATGGTTGTTGCTTTTATTCCTGTTACTGATTAATATTTAGTTAAGACCATCATCCTAGCACTCTGGGCAGATCCATAGGAGAACCGAGTTCCTCAGCCAACCCACACGCGTAAAACGACTCGTCAGGCCTGTACTGTGTTGATTAATCAGATAACGTTAGTTAGTTAGTTAGTTAGTTAGTCTACAGATTATCCTCATTGCACGTCAAACCACTCATTCCATAAGTGCTCGGATCCCCTCTTCAGTAAATCCCGCAGCGTGTAGCGACTGAAGACACCAATTCTGTGTTGGTTTATTCTTCTTCTTTCGCTACCCGTGTAGTGTTCTTGTCTAGAGACACCCCGTTTAACTTGCTGTTCTTGCAGTCTGACCATTCACAATTCGCAACTAGTTCACTCAAACGTCTTATATCTCGTAAAGAATTCCCTAAATCAGCCTGGACCATAGCTTGTCCGGTTTTCACAGTACATTCTTCGTGCAGAGTGGCAAGCTTCACTTCAAAGGTCCCGGGTTGTTAGCATCCTTTGGATATTTTCTCCAGGTTATGCGGGTGTGTTGGGAAATAAGCAGGCAGATAGGCTGGCCGGTTCTGCACCCCTTGGTGTTGAACTGATGTATGACAAGCTGGATGTTGTGAGGGCCCTTTGGGAGCGAGGGAACAGTACCGAGGCACATATAGATCATTACGGTCTGAAGAGAATAGCACTGCGAGGAGCTACAAGGGAATGTGACCGACGCTCAACACTCAGTGAAAAAGCGAGACGGATGTATATTCAGACAGTTACTGGTACCATAGGAATTGTAACTCTCCGCTTGCTGCTGCCCAGTTGGCACTCGTTGACTGATGCAGTCAACATCACACCGACCGCCTTTACTTCCCAGGACTTTACCTAGTACCCATTTTTGGCTAAACGTCGATCTGAAAGCTTTTGAGTGAAAATCCTACTTCATATGGATTCAAACTTTAGTTCTTCGGACCACAGGTGAGCGTCAGACCACTGCGCATTTCGTCTCCAGTCAACCTGTGTAATTTGTCTGTATCTGTTTATGTCAATGTTTTCCGTTCTCCACGGCGCCATGTTCCACACTGGTCTAGGTTTAAGGAAACAAGTTAATAAATGTTTGGATCACCCAAAACACAGAAAGAGAGAGTTTAACGCTATGACGTTGTCTTTTGAAAATAATTAAAAGAGTAATGAAAAAAAAACACACACAAAAAAAAAAACAATGACAATAAAGTAATACAAATAGAAAAAAAATGGAATGCGAAACACACAAAGAGACAGACAGATGAATAGAGCGAGAGAGATAGGAGAGAGAGAGAGAGACAGAGAGAGAGAGAGAGAGAGAGAGAGAGAGAGAGAGAGAGAGAGAGAGAAAGAGAGAGAGAGAGAGAGAGAGAGAGAGAGAGAGAGAGAGAGAGAGTGGAGGGGGGAGAAGAAAAACAAAATATAAAGTCAACGAAACCAAACACACACGAAGGGTAAATACCCCACCCCCAACAAAACAAAAAAAGAAGGTAAAAAAAAAATAAAAAGTGATACAAAAGAGGGTACACAGAGGGGCGAAACAACACTTAGCTTAAAACGAAAGTTTTCTAATTCAGAATCTTCAAAGGACGGACAGAAATCATCCAAAAACATAAACCACTTTTGGAAACTTACCTAAGACTATGGCAAGTGTTTTAGTAGCTTTCTTCTCTCGTCTAGAGGAAGATTTTTCTTTCCTTTTTCTGCTTGGTCTCATATGAAAGTTAAACTTTGTCACTCCTTTCTTTTGACCCTGAGTTGGTGATGGTGAACTGACTTTCCCCTTATCGTTTTCCCCAGTTTTCCCGCCGTCGTTCACACCTGCTTTGCAAAGCACGGACGTAAACGGAGTTTCCGCCTCGTTTGCGCAAGTCTGACCTCCGGAAGTTGAAGCTGAGGGTTCATGACCTACACAGCCGCCATTTTTGCCGTATTGCGCCACGGCTTGAAAACCTTCGTTCTCCAGCCGATCTAGCTCTTCGGCCATGGGATTAGTGATCAGTTCTGCTGCTTCCATGCTTCTGTAAAACCTGGGACTGATCTGCATCACAACGCTGGCCACACCCAGTTTCTTTGATGACGTGTTATTGTTAGCACTTCCGCTACCACTTGGAGTGTCCTCATCATCATCGTCGTTGGAATTATCATCGGAGTTCGAATTCGGGTTATTTCCAAAGTTATCTCCACCCCCGCCGGACCCCAACACACGCGATGTTGTAGCTTTTGTGGTATTGTACGTGGTGACTCTACCGTTGTCTACATTGGCGAGTCCAGTCATAACTGTAGCCTCAGCCCCATAGACACCCCCAGTGTCGTTCACAGTCTGATTCCCAGCGTTGGTCGGGTTTTCTATGACTCCTTGCAGCGCCTTCTTGTCTACCTCCCGCATCTGCTTGGCCATCTTGGTTTTCAGAGCGCGCATGCGTATCACCCTGTAAATCTTCCAATAGAGAAAGCACATGATGACGGAGGGGATGTAGAATGACCCCATGGAGGAGTAGATGATGAAGTCAGAGTTGAAGAACTGGCAGTCTCCGCTGTTCCTGGCTTTGGAGTAGTTGACCCCCAGGGCTATGGGCGCCGCTATGGCCACGGAGATGATCCAGGTGATGGCCAGCATGATGAAGACTCTTTTGGAGTTTTTGTGTTTGGCATATTTGATTGGCTGAGTGACAGCGATAAACCTGGGAGGACAGATAAATATCCGGTCAGTATTGGAATGGACAACATGCAAAGCTAGCTAATCAGTTGTTTGTTATATGACCACAATATATGGGTTTTACACAACAGAAAACTTGTACACTTTTCAGTGATTTCAATAGTACACCTCTCAGTTATTTCACCAGCACACCTCTAAATGATTTCACCAGTACACCTCTCAGTGATTTCACCAGTACACCTCTCAATGATTTCACCAGTACACCTCTCTGTGATTTCACCAGCACACCTCTCTGTGATTTCACCAGCACACCTCTCTGTGATTTCACCAGTACACCTCTCTGTGATTTCACCAGTACACCTATCTGTGATTTCACCAGTACACCTCTCTGTGATTTCAGCAGTACACCTCTCAATAATTTCACCAGTACACCTCTCTGTGATTTCAGCAGTACACCTCTCAATAATTTCACCAGTACACCTCTCTGTGATTTCACCAGCACACCTCTCAATGATTTCACCAGTACACCTCTCAGTGATGTCACCAGTACACCTCTCAATGATTTCACCAGTACACCTCTCTGTGATTTTACCAGTACACCTCTCTGTGATTTCACCAGTACACCTCTCTGTGATTTCAGCAGTACACCTCTCAATAATTTCACCAGTACACCTCTCAATGATTTCACCAGTACACCTCTCTGTGATTTCACCAGTACACCTCTCTGTGATTTCACCAGCACACCTCTCAGTGATTTCACCAGTACACCTCTCAGTGATTTCACCAGTACACCTCTCTATGATTTCACCAGTACACCTCTCTGTGATTTCACCAGTACACCTCTCTGTGATTTCAGCAGTACACCTCTCAATAATTTCACCAGTACACCTCGCTGTGATTTCACCAGCACACCTCTCAATGATTTCACCAGTACACCTCTCTGTGATTTCACCAGTACACCTCTCTGTGATTTCACCAGTATACCTCTCAGTGATTTTACCAGTACACCTCTCTGTGATTTCAGCAGTAAACCTCCCTGTGATTTCACCAGTACACCTCTCAATGATTTCACTAGTACACCTCTCAGTTATTTCACCAGTACAGTCTCAATGATTTCACCAGTACACCTCTCTGTGATTTCAGCAGTACACCTCTCAATGATTTTACTATAAATTAATGAACGTTTTAAACAGACATATATTGAATGACACTCACATGAAGAAATAGAAAGGTAGAAGGACACACTAGACAATGTGGACATACAATTCAAAAGCTATAATTACTACGTTAGGAATCGAATCTGTCATCTCCAAATGACGACAGCGCCTCACTGATTCTTTTTTTAAACCACAGCAGCATGGGTTTTCTTGTCTAATTAGGAGGGGTAGGTGGTGGACAGGGTAGGAGGAGGAGTAGAAGAGGAAACAGAACAAAAATAAGAAGAAAAAAAATAAGAAGAATAGGAAGAAGAAGAAGAAGAAGAAGAAGAAGAAGAAGAAGAAGAAGAAGAAGAAGAAGAAAGAAGAAGAAGAAGAAGAAGAAGGAAGAAGAAGAAGAAGAAGAAGAAGAAGAAGAAGAAGAGAAGAAGAAGAAGAAGAAGAAGAAGAAGAAGAAAGAAGAAGAAGAAGAAGAAGAAGAGGAAGAAGATAAAGACGAAGAAAAGAAGAAGAAGAAGAAGAGAAGAAGAAGAAGAAGAAGAAAAGAAGAAGAGAAAGAGAAGAAGAAGAAAGAAGAAGAAGAAGAAGAAGAAGAAGAAGAAGAAGAAGAAGAAGAAGAAGAAGAAGAAGAAGAAGAGAAGAAGAAGAAGAAGAAGAAGAAGAGAAAAGAAGAAGAAGACGAAGAAGAAGAAGAAGAAGAAGAAAGAAGGACGAGAAGAAGAAGAAGAAGAAGAAGAAGATAGAAGAAGAAGAAGAAGAAGAAGAAGAAGAAGAAGAAGAAGAAGAAGAATAAGAAGAAGAATGAAGAAGAAGAAGAAAGAAGAAGAAAGAAGAAGAAGAAGAAGAAGAAGAGAAGAAGAAGAAGAAGAAGAAGAAGAAGAAAGAAGAAGAAGAAGAAGAAAAAGAAGAAGAAGAAGAAGAAGAAGAGAAAGAAGAGAAGAAGAAGAAGAAGAAGAAGGAGAAAGCATGAAGAAGAAGAAGAAGAAGAAGAAGAAGAAGAAGAAGAAGAAGAGAAGAAGAAGAAGAAGAAGAAGAAGAAGAAGAAGAAGAAGAAGAAGAAGAAGAAGAAGAAGAACAAGAAGAAGAAGAAGAAGAAAAGAAGAAGAAGAAGAAGAAGAAGAAGAAGAAGAAGAAGAAGAAGAAGAGAAGAAGAAGAAAGAAGAAGAAGAAGAAGAAGAAGAAGAAGAAGAAGAAGAAGAAGAAGAAGACGAAAAAGAAGAAGAAGAAGAAGAAGAAGAAGAAGAAGAAGAAGAAGAAGAAGAAGAAGAAGAAGAAGAAGAAGAAGAAGAAGAAGAAGAAGAAGAAGAAGAAGAAAAAGAAGAAAAAGAAGAAGAAGAAGAAGAAGAAGAAGAAGAAGAATCATCGCAGCAGCAGACTACTCAACGACGACAAGTAATGTAGGTTTTAATTAACGAAATCGCAACTTTGCAGAAGTCCCCTCGCCAACCTTTATTGTATCGACCCCAGTGTTAATTCATGCACTGATAAACATAATATAGATGCTGTTGTATGCTCTGGGTCTCGAAGAGACTCGATCTGAGCATTCATTTTCCTAACTGATGCATTTTCATGTTCAAGGATATCTTTACATTTATGAGCCCACCCCAACGACAAGTACTGCCCCCCCACCTTTTACCCCAACGACAAGTACTGCCCCTACCTCACCCCAACGACAAGTACTGCTCCTACCTCCCCACCAGCTCCTCCACCCCCTTCCTTTTAGGAACTATGTCGATCTTTCTAGAAACTGTGACGTTTAATGTGGCCTGTATAGGCTATTTTCAGAATTACCACCACTGACAGACCAGTCTTGTTTCAGAGATTTGAATGCTACTTCCACATACCAGATTATTTGGAAGATTTGAATGCTAATTCCACAGACCAGTCTTGTTTGGAAGATTTGAATGCTACTCCCACAGACCAGTCTTGTTTGGAAGATTTGAATGCTACTTTCACAGACCAGTCTTTTTTTGAAGATTTGAATGCTACTTTCACAGACCAGTCTTGCTTGGAAGATTTGAATGCTACTACCACAGACCAGTCTTGTCTGGAAGATTTGAATCCTACTTCCACAGACCATTCTTGTTTGGAAGATTTGAATGCTACTCCCATAGACCAGTCTTGCTTAGAAGATTTGAATGCTACTCTTACAGACCAGTCTTGCTTGGAAGATTTGAATGCTACTACCACAGACCAGTCTTGTCTGGAAGATTTGAATCCTACTTCCACAGACCATTCTTGTTTGGAAGATTTGAATGCTACTCCCATAGACCAGTCTTGCTTAGAAGATTTGAATGCTACTCTTACAGACCAGTCTTGCTTGGAAGATTTGAATGCTACTTCCACAGACCGGTCTTATTTCAAAGATTTGAATGCTACTTCCACAGACCAGTCTTGTTTAGAATATTCGAATGCCACTTCCACAGACCAGTCTTATTTGGCAGATTTGAATGCTACTCTCACAGACCAGTCTTGTTTGAAAGATTTGAATGCTACTCTCACAGACCAGTCTTGTTTGAAAGATTTGAATGCTACTCTCACAGACCAGTCTTGTTTGGAAGATTTGAAGGCTACTCTCACATACCAGTCTTGTTTGGAAGATTTGAATGCTACTCTCACAGACCAGTCTTGTTTGAAAGATTTGAATGCTACTCTCACATACCAGTCTTGTTTGGAAGATTTGAATGCTACTCTCACAGACCAGTCTTGTTTGGAAGATTTGAATGCTACTCTCACAGATCAGTCTTGTTTGGAAGATTTGAATGCTACTCTCACAGACCAGTCTTGTTTGGAAGATTTGAATGCTACTCTCACAGATCAGTCTGGTTTGGAAGATTTGAATGCTACTCTCACAGACCAGTCTTGTTTGGAAGATTTGAATGCTACTCTCACAGATCAGTCTTGTTTAGAAGATTTGAATAATACTACGCATAGTCTTGCTCCGAAAATTTGATCGATACTCTTGACAGACCTGGCCTTGACAGGCCCTAGATCTGTACCAGCTAAAGTCATGGGAAATAAAGGCAGCCTGGGATATACATTATATGCCCGACACGCATGCAGATGGGAAAAGGGGCCCTTTATTTGACTGTTATACTTAGTAGGAACATCCCAAGGATAAGAACAGAACTGGTACAAATCCCAGAAACCGCGTTTAAAAGTATATCCAGAAAGCACAGTTATAATGCGGGTGGTTAGCGCTCTTTGGTCAGTTTCTCAGGAAAGGAGACAAGTATAAGTGTGAACATTATAGAGGAATGTCACTGTTATCTACAAACTATAAGATACTATCGGCAGGACTGCTAAACAGGCTAAAACCATACGTCGAAGACATACTGGGAGATTGCCAAGGGGTTTTTCGACAGAACAGATAAACAACAGATATTTATCTTACGTCAAACAGAAGAGCAAAATTGGAAATATCGAAAAAATATACATAACGTTTTGTGGATTTTAAAAAGGCGTGTAATAGTGTTCACAAAAACAATTTATGGAAATCTATGACGGATTCTGGAATACCAAAGAAGTTAATTACCATAACAAAACTATGTATGGAAGACACTTGTAATATAGTACTATATAATGGCAGAAAGTCAGACCCTTTTCAAAAAACATCTGGTTTCAAGCAAGGTGATGTTCTGTCCTTTTCAACTTGGCCCTGGAGAGAATTATAAGGAAATTGAAACAAGATTGTATGGAAGAAGAATCTACAAGAATACTTGGATATGCTGGTGACATTGATATCGTCGGAGAAAATGAACAAGAGACTGTTAAAACACTGACTGTTTTAAAAGAATCAGCTCAGAAAATGAGACTAGTCATCAATCAAGATAAGACAGAATACATGATAATGACTAAACAGGGAAAGGATATAAATGCCGGCCACATACAAGTCAAAAATATGAAAATCAAACGAACGGAAACATATAAGTACTTGGGTACAAAATTCAACTGCTCTGACATGCTGGGAGAAGACACACAATCTAGAATACAATCTTTTAATAAAGTAAACTATGCCCTTCAACATCTGCTAAAGTCAGAGTGTCAGTCTCCCAACACCGAGATCAAAATTATTAAACATTGGTAAGACCAGTCGTTTTATATGGCTCTGAAACTTGGAGGACAACTAAAAAAGATAAAGCATTATTGCAGGTTTTCGAAAACAGAGTCTTACGACGAATCTTTGGACCCATCAAAGATGCAAACAGCCACGAATGGAGAGTGAGAAGCAGCAACGAAATTCACAAGATGTTTAAATCAACACTGATCGCTCGCATCATGAAAGCTAATAGACTGAAATGGTTGGGGCTATTGAAAGAATGTCAGATGACAGAGAAGAAAAAACCGTATACACGAGGGAGATGAATGGTCGTAGACCACGAGGCAGACCAAGAAGAGAGAGATAATATCCAATCAGACCTGAAAACACTCGGTGTCATCAACTGGAAAGAGAAAGCCAACCAGCGAGATGAATGGAGGAGGGTGATATCTGCAGCAATGAACCCTAAGGGCTCGGAATGCTGAAGAAGAAGAAGATGTATATATAAAATGGATTATTACAAATACAAAAGTAATAAATTTCAAAACTGCTTGAACCCTGAACCCCCCCCCCCACCCCTTTTTGTCCCCCTTCCCCTCCAAACTAGATTGGAGAGCAATGCTCAAGATACATTATAAATAAATAAATAAGTCAAAGTACCAACTATTTCCCATTTGTACTTTCTAGTCCCCAGCCCCTCCCCCCCCCTCCCCTACCCCATACCCCGTTTTTAACCCCCCTTTCCCCAATCAGCCATCCAATTGATAAAATAATTCACGAGCAGAAGTGTATTCCGTTGTGTTATCGTATGTATTTGGTAATCATATCACAGATCGAGTTATCTACCCCTAGCTCATGAGGCTTATTTGTCGTAAAGCCATCATACAACTCTTGGTGTGGGATGCCCATTTGGAGGG